TATTAGAAAACCTCGCATCACGGCCTTGCTTGCATCCCATATTATTCTTTTCTCCACATCTGTTCTCAAATTAATTTCAAAATAGTCTTTCAAAGCTTTTTGGGCCTTCTTATAAATCTCTTCATCTCTGAATAGGGCGTCATTCATCCTCCATCTGAAGGTTCCAGTTGTTGATAAAAACTTTAAAGGGTGTGTGTGACCTTCAAATGAAGGTCATTGGAATTAACAGTACATTTCTTAATATAAATAAATCTAGATTTTCAGTTTTTGGGTTACCACCCTTGGTTGGTGCTTATTATATAAATCTTTTAAATGCATAAATAAATCCTGTGTCTTTACAAAGGGCAGGAATATTCCCATATTACACTGCCAACAGATGTTGTTGTCTGCCCTATCTTCCAGGCCGTGTCTCCAACAAACTTTTTCAACAAACTTTTTCAGCAGGGTCAACAAACTTTTTCAGGGGTCAACAAACTTTTTCAGCAGGGGGCTGGTCCACTGTCACTCAGACCTTGTGGGGGGCCGGACTATTTTTGGGGGGGAGGGAATGAATGAATTCCTATGCCCCACAAGTAACCCAGAGATGCATTTTAAATAAAAGGACACATTCTACTCGTGTAAAAACACGCTGATTCCCGGACCGTACATGAGCCAGATTTAGAAGGCGATCGGGCTGGATCCAGCCCCCGGGCCTTATTTTGCCTACCTGTGAATTAACACTTCACTTCCGGCTTCCTCCCCGACCCCACAAAGTGGCACCTCATTAAAGGAATATTTATTTTCCCACTATGTTGGAAGAGAACATTGACTAGTCTACCTTCCTTTAGGAAGTGTGTTGACACTCCTCCTTGAGACTAAATAAGCAGCTGAAACAACAATATGAGTTAGATCCAGAATAACACACCAAATCCTTTACAATTATACCAGTAGGAGGAGAGACTGCTTTGCCGCAGCTGGACAATGTATCTCATGCTCTTTCTTCTAGTTGGCCCTAAAGACAAAGCTAGATCAGATGGAGGAGATCCAGAATTGAATTTCCCAACATCTTTCTTGGCTGATTTCATTTGCCCAATTTTTCATTTCCCAAATTTAAATCAGAAAAGCAACCATCAAAGCTTGTCTGTACAGCTAACAACAACAGCAACTACAACTTTTTAATAGCATTTTCAAATGTTCACATGCATCATCTGGGTGTAATCGGTACAACAGCCCTGTGTAAATTAGTATTATTATCCTCCCTATTCTAGGTTGAGAATAAGAGAGAGTGGCTTGCTTAGGCCAACCTAGTGAGTTCATAGTAGAAACAAGATTCACACTGGGGACTTTACAGCTCCATCTCTTAGCCACCATACTACTAGGGTGGTATGGGAGCGATTCATTTATATTGGGGAAATGGTCAGATAAAAGGTTTAGCCCCTTTAGTACCATGCCCCCCTCCTCCTCTCCCCAGTGCCCTGGCCCTGATGCTAATAAAGAGAGCTCCTTCCTCCTGAGCCTAACCAAGGATTGCCAGTGTGAAGAAAAGCAAAGAGTCTATCTCTGTCTTAGGACATAATCAATGGCTGTTTTGTAAAGCCCCTTTGCAGGTAGATGAGCCAGTTGGTGCCACCTGTGTGTGTGCTGTTTTATTATAGATGCTGATGCTGAGATGCATAGATTGATACATAGATTGGTCTATGTAAATGGGGACTGGAATAAAGGGGGTATTGAAAACCGGGGGGGGGGGGCGGATATGTTGAACTATTCGTAGCCATTTTCTGTATGCAAAATACATCCCCAGCAGAAATGGTGCTGTTCTTAGAATAGAACTGCAAATATTCTTTAGCCGTTTAGATCAATTCAGGGGAACGATGAGGAAAAAGATTGTATTCACTTATATTTAGATACTGGAGACCATCATTAGCATTGCTAGACTTCAAACAAATATCAGAATAATAAGAGCATTCTAAGTTGTTGTTTCATGAAACCAATCTCTTAGTGTTCTTTAGAAATTATTTTAGTTTTGTGACATTCTTTTTTAATAAATGGATTTTGTGACTTTTTTGGAACAGGAGCCAAAAGCCAAATGAATTCTTTTCACTTCTGTACTTGACATGGGTGCTTGAATGCAAACACTGGCTGGCAGCGACTCTACAAGGATTCAGATGAGGGACGTTTGTAGCTCTGCTGCTGAGCTATGGCCCTTTGTACTGAATAAATGTCACTCCTGAAAGTTCACCTTGTTGTAGATAAAGGTCCCAACAACTTCTGCATAATGGATGCTAAAATATAATGCTGTGCATGATCAAAAGGAAGAAGCCAATGCCACAGCAGCTAGAACCATTTCAAGCTGTCCTTCTATAGCAGTGCCTTAAGATCAATTCTTTACACATTCTTGAACCTTGGTACAGTATATGTGAATCCGGTACAATCATGATTTGATATGTAGGTGCACAATTTATTAAAAGGCCTCTGAGTCTTTGGGGTATGTGAATAACAGAGGTGGAAAGAAGACTGCAAGAAAAAATGGGCAAGGGTGACTTTTACCGAGGGGAAAAAAAATACTCGTATCCATGACTTTGAGTCTTAGTAGTGTGCCTACTTTAAAGTTATCTATTGAATTTTACTCACAATTTCAAACTTTGGAACCTTCTTTTTAATGCCCTATTTCACTCTTTCCAAAGTCGTAGTCTTGTTAGGTGTCTCTGATATCTCACTTTGCTACTCCTATTCATACTTTACACATGCGCGCACACACACCCGTGCTTGGACTCTTCTTCCTGTTAATATGATCTCTGGCATGCTTGCTCCCCGTTCTTTATAGGAAGAATGCCAAGATCTGTTCTTGATCTTTCTACTTGTCATTTAAACACAAAAAACCAGCTGTGTGCTCCAAAAAAGAAAAAGGGGCATCCTTTTTTACTTTTTGCATCTGATTCACTCCTATGGATACTTTCTCGGGATTAAGCGCCAATGAACTCTCTGGTACTTACATGCATGGTTGCATTGCACTGAGCTGCACAGCTAGCATTGTTGCTATTTACATCTGTGCTTTTCTTAGGTGTGCATTTATCAAGGCTTCCATTTTCTGAAACAGCACAGGATCGACCTCAATCGTTGTAAGAGTTCATTAATGTTAGTAAAGCTTTGGGTAGCAAGGGATAAATGTGCTATATTCATACAAGGTAAACTTGCAATAGAGCTGATGTCATGTATTGGCACACATACAAGCAAAGAAGCAACTTTCCTCTTAGCATGTGTGTACCAAATGTTGTTAATGCTGTTGTTCTATCTGTGCCCCTTATGCCTAATACCAGACACAACTTTATAGCAGTCACGATTCAGCTGTTTCAGTCTGAAATATCTGTTAATGGGCTGGAAAAGCTACGTATTAAGTTAGAAGCAAAAGTTGATCACACATTATCTGTTAAATACCAAGGTGCTGATTTAGCTTAGTAACCTTTACACATGAGTGGCTGTGCCATTATGTCGATGGGGATGCATGTTCAAACGCGTGTTCCACTGAAAACAATAAAGTGTGGCTCAATGAAATGCATGCTTTTGAACTGCTAGGTAGGCAGGAGCTGGGACAGAGCAACAGGAGCTCACCCTGTTGTGTGGATTTGAACCGCCAACCTTCTGATCTGCAAGCCCAAGAGGCTCAGTGGTTTAGACCACAGCGCCACCCGCATCCCCTCTCCAAGACAAGGCTTCTCCCTTCACTGCAACATTTGAGATGTGTGCATTGAAAGGATGCACACATGGAATTAGGAGTGTGCCATTAGGTCTTGCTTGTGGGCTTCCAATAGGCATCTGAGGGGCCACTGTGAGAACAGAAAGTTGGATTTGATAGGCCTTTGGTTTGCTCTTGTTAGGGCCTTCTTAATGTTCTTACGGAGCTGCTCATGGTGTCTCATTGAAAAAGGAAGCCTGTGAACATCAAGCACCAGTTGTGCTTTCAAAAGGGCTTAATGTGCGATAGCGTATTTATTTTGATATTGATTTATTTTCCAATAGTGCAAGCTGTACATATGCAAAATGTCCCATACTGCTAGCTTTTTGTTGATACTAACAACCAATGGATTGTGATGCTTCAATACCATTGTACTGAGTGTTTTGTAAAAGCCTAGCTACAGCTTAAGCTTTATGAAATAGCCAATTTTTGGTTCAGCAAGCCAGTATCAATGGCAGACAGTTGGGGAGCAGAGCTGAAGTCCAAAAATGTATTCTTGGGTTTCTACAAATAAGGTCATTTATCACACCATTTTTCTTTGTCCATTAATACCCAGCAAGTTTATCATTTATATATACTCATACATTTTCTTTTGAAACAGTTGAAGCGGGTTATATTTTCTCTTCAAAATTTTATTTCTCAGCTTGAAGTGTTCCACTTCAATACAATACACGGGAGAACAGTTGCAATGAAGTATGTTCAAAGCACATTTTTCTTTATTACAATGACAAGTTTGAAAAGCACCTTGTGATTTGACATCATTTGGGAAGGGGAGGGAAAGTGCACTTCGCCAGTCCACAAGATCTTAGTTTTATTGTCTGAGCAATGAATCTAATAATAAAAGCCAACTCGATTGCCTTGCTGAACTATAGACACATCCTTCTTTTCAATTCCAAGCACACATGTCAGTCTGTGTGTGCACGTAAATGTGTGTGTATGCACACTCTCACACAGGGTTTCTATCATCAAATGTATGTGCTGCAGAAGACTTGCAAACTGAATCTAGCAGGCCAACACCTTAATCAACTGTCTCACATTTAACTGGGGGTAAGCTATTACAGTATGACAACATGCACTTTCTATGTCCAAACAATGCATCATATGAAAAGAGAAAAAGCTTCTTATTACTAATGTACCAGTGAGTGAGATAGAAGTTTACTGAAGATAAAAAGCTTAGATGTCTAACAATGTGCATTGTTTCGTTATTGTTGCTCATTTAACCAACTATGTTGGGTTCTAGAAGAACAGATCCTATATTGCTGAACTATCTGATTATATATATTTGTAGAGCTTCCTCTCAAAGCTGCACGGCAATAATGTTTCTTTCCTTTGTCCTCCATGAAGAGAGAAACGAACTAGACCAGAAGTTGCATGCAATCAAGTTTAGTCAACTTCGTGACTCCATTCGCAAGTGTGGGGCTGGAGAAGTGGCAGCCATTAAGTGTAAGGTAAAAGAACTCTCCCTACCACAACCTCTCCCATTAAGTGTAATGTTAAAAGGCTACTAGGCGTTGATAGCTGTGTCCTCTACGATTTTGTCCAATTGTCTTTTAAAGCCACCCAAGTTGATGGCCATCACTGCCTCCTGCAAAAGTAGGTTCCATAGTTTTAACTATGTGCTGCATGAAGGAGTACTTTCTTTTATCTGTCCGGAATCATCCAGCATCCGGCTTCGTTGGGTTAGTCCATAATTTCTTCCTGGAAGCTGAACCTGGAGCTGATGCACATAGACTGCATTGTATCACATTTGGCCCCTTTGTGTGTTCTGGATAAAAGATGGTGAGGACGGAAGATCAGGGTGCCTGTACGATTAGTAAAAGCAGGTGGTGGAGCGTTTCCCATGACACGTTTCTATGTTTTGAAGGATTAACCCCACTTCTCTCCCACACATGCATTCTTGCTGAAGCTGCTGCATTGTTCACAGGAAGACAACACAGAATGTTGAACCGCAGCCCAGCACAGAAACACATTTGCTTTGTTTGGGAAACATACCAAAATATGCAGACTTAACTGTAGCCTGCTAAAGCATTTTGCGCTCTCAGTCTGGATGTAAAGCAGGACTCCTGCCCACTAAATCTGAAGGGGAAGGAAGGCATGCAGCCATTTCTCTCCGCATGTTCTTTCAGAAGGTGATATCTGTGAATTTAAAAGCTAAGATATGATGCCGTGAAAAATGTACACGTCCCATATTATTTCATAGCTTTTCCATCACTTTGTGAACACCCATGCATCAGACTGTGTTCTCAACCCATTTACACCTTTGCGGTTTGTTAATGACAGCCTATAGGTGAGGGGTGGGTGGGAAATGGAGTAGTTAAGCCTAGAAGCCAGTCATTAGTCTTGTTGTCAGCCACAGTATATCTCTGAACTTTATAAGTAATTCATGTCATCCCTTCGCTCTTACCCCTCAGCAGACTATCCATTAAAACCGTGATTCTGTGTGGAGCTTCACAGAGAGCCAATGGATGGCCAGTATGGGACAAAAGAGGCTTGCAAGTCTATGATAAATTGAAAAGCTGGGTCTCTCATATATATATATATATCAATTAAACTTTAGTAGAGGGACAGTGTCATCCTGAAATAAAAGCAGACTAATAAATCACGGTTGCTGTGCTCAGGTATTATTTAAATGAACATTAACGTTCCTGAAGTAAACCTTTGCAGAAATTAGCAATATGCTCCATGTACACAGATGCTTCCTGCATTAGTCTTATTTAGACATTATACAAATCTGGAAATGCAATGCATGAGCAAGGAAAGTGGGCAGTACAGAAGTACAGGAGGGGAATGACATTTTCTGTTTTGCCTCTGGCAGCAAAACATCCTGAACCAGCCTTGTTAAAGGCCAACAGAGAAAGGACAGAGCAACACACGTATGTGAAGATGCTTTTTTTGGTGCTATTTCTGAAAAGGCCCCTGTCTCAATTACTCCTCCATCTACTGCCTGCCCCCAGATAATGAGGGAACCGAGAGCAAGGCCTCTGAGGAAGACCTTCATAGTTGTATGGAAGAAAATGGTCCATAAGGCATCTTGGACCCAGGCTTCCCAAAAAACACTTAAACCAGTGCTTTTGAATAGGTGCTGGAGACTACCCGGAAGCCAATAATACAGTTGCGGTAAATGTACAGTAAATTTAGGGTAACAAAGGCTCCTGTGTGTGCTTTCTAAGTTATAAAAGGCAGAGGAAGAAATAATGGAAGAAAAAGTATTTTAAGACACACAGGGGGATATAGAGAGCCAAAGCAGCTCACTGTTTCTTCCATTGAAAACCCCCATGTCCACTGTGCAATGTATCAACATGAGGCAGTAATGTCCAGTGAAGTGCATTAGCGTGGAAAGTTACAAGGGCAATCCACTCTGTCATCTGCTGAAATATCACAGTGGTGTTTTTGACAGAAACACCAGGCAAGTATTGGTAGAGAAATGACCATAAATGTGTTTATACGTGGCACTCTTTCCCAGGGAAAGTTGCACAGTGGACTTTGTAGCTGTCCCAGGGAAATCCAGATAGCATCTCAGCTTGAGCCTTGTGATGATACAGCTGGGAGGCAGATGGCAATCTCTTGGGGGTATCAAGCTGGACAGAACAGCTAATTTATGCACAGAGCAGAGAATGGTGCTGGCACAGGGATTCGACTGCCAGCCTGGAAGAACAAAAGCCCTCCTACTTCCTGCCCAGTTGAAGTGCTTTCCTAGTTTTCACCTATTTAATTATAGGGTTGAAGAGATTGCCAACTGTGTCCAAAGTCATTAGCTCCCCCTGGAAATGCAATCTCCCTATGTGTCTGAAAGAGGTTGTCACCAACAGAGCTTGGGATCCTCCTCAGGTCAGTGACTTGATGTACTGTTTGTGTGTGTGTGTGTGTGTGTGTGTGTGTGTGTGTGTAGAATCAGGAGTTCTGCAATTGGGGCGGTGGGGGGAGGAAGAGATAGAAGCTGACTGAAAGCTAGAAGCATTTTGGAGATCCAAGGTCTCTCCCCAGGAATCTGATGGCCTGCTGCCTTACAGAAAAACATGCTCTTGTATACCTATAAATAAAACAGATATTGCAAAAACCTATCTAAAGTAAACCAACGGCCCAGGTCAGTCTGTCTCTAGAACTTCTGACTGAGGCGTGTGTGCAGTGCAAATATTTATTAAGCAGAATCAGCCAGTTGCATAACATGTCCTGTAGAAATTACATTGCCAGGGAGGACACCAAAGTTAGAATGGTGACTGGTGCCCTTTGAGAGTGATGGAACAGAAGCCAGTGAGGCCAATAGTAGGGAGAGCCGGAGTCAGTGACACACAGAATCAACAAATGCTGGTTTTGACCCCATCTTCCTCGTGTTCTACAAACTGACAGTCAGCGCCACCCAGAGCTGCCTCAGGCAGCGGAAGTGTAAGAGGCGGAGCTCCCACCCTACTGCTTTCACCACTAGATGAATGTTCCCCTCTCATCGAGTTCTGGTGTTGGTAGAAGTGAGGAGCGGCAGAGGGTGGGGACAGCAGGGAGGTGGAAGACGGCACAGTTCCATTTTGCTCAGGTGATGAAATGGTACAGATTGCTCCTGGGGCCACCTTTTTGCTCAATTAAAAAGCCCCAAAGTCCACAAAGGTATAAACTACAATCAGTGTAAACATTGGATACACTAGTATCCAATGTTTACACACTCCCATTACACTCCCATTACATTGGATACACTAGTATCCAATGTTTACACCCTCCCATTACCATTTAAATTATAATACAGAATTACATGTTGAGGCTATGGAACATAAAGGTTTGTTTTGTTATGTTTGTTTGGCAGCAAAAGTAACAGTGAAAGAACTGGCAAACATTTCAGGTGAAACATAACCGCAGGACTGCTTTTTTTGGAGACCTATGTAGCAGTGAAATATTCCAACAGGGAACAAGGCTTTGTATCGCTTTGCAGACTTCATTTCCTTCTCGCTGGCTCTAAATGGGTTTATCAGACAGTCTGAAAACGTTTTAGCAGCTCAGTCCTAAGACTGGCTACCCCAGCAAACCACCAACTCCGCCATCACGATGCCGGAAGGCACAGAGGGCAGCTGAAATTGTTTAGGATCAGAATGCTGATAGCAAGTTGCAGTTAAAACTTTTAGGTGGCCTGTATAATGTCGTGATGAATTTCTAATGATATAAAAGGGAATCTATCCCCTTGCTGTCCATACCTTAGGACTGGGGTCAGTAGCTGAGTGCCTGAAGATTGACACCACTTGATTCCACAGACTCCCTGTGCTGCCCTGTGATGTGTGGCAGAAGACACCTGGTTCTTCAGTGTGCCTTATTTTATTCCCTAGGTGGGGGGAAAAGCAGCATGTAATTTTCTGCTATCATTTACAGAAAAACAACTGTACATTCACGTAAGCTTTTGTATATCAAAAACCTATATTTTCCATGAAGTTTTAAACTAAAGGGGTAGGGGAAACAGATGGCCTCACTCAGATGCACTTTTGAGAGCCAATTTAAAGATGTCGGCTCCTATCAGTATGAATCATCCTTTGCAGAGGCCTAAGAGTTGTTTATCTTACTGTCCAATTACTTGAAATTCTGATAAAATTATCTTAATGATACCCTACCTGTTATATTTCAGTGATTTGCATATATTATGCAGAGCATATTGTAGATTTCATTATCCAGGTCTTCAGTTTTGCAAAATGACTTAACATTGATTTGTTTCGTGGTTTTAATTAAACGACTACACTGACAAAGAAAGGAAACATCCAAGGGTTTTTGTAAGTAAGGAGGAAATTAAACTAGCACATGGCAATTTTTACCCTGTGGTGGAGAAAACCCTTTTAGGAAATATGGAGAGATAAAGAAACAACTCATCAATGGTTGGGTTTTTTTTAAGAACGTGAAGACATTAAAATAATTTTAGAGATTTGGCACATGTGCATATATTCCAGCATATGCACTAAATAATAATAATTTGTTATTTATACCCCGCCCATCTGGCTGGGTTTCCCCAGCCACTCTGGGCGGCTCCCAATAGAACATTAAAAACACATTTTATCGTCAAACATTAAAAACTTCTCTAAACAGGGTTGCCTTTGGTTGTCTTCTAAGTGTCAGATAGTTGTTTATTTCCTTGATATCTGATAGAAAGGTGTTCCACAGGGCAGGCGCTATTACCGAGAAGGCCCTCTGCCTGGTTCCCTGTAGCTTTGCTTCTAACAGTGAGGGAACCGCCAGAAGGCCCGTGGCACTGGACCTGTGTCTGGGCTGAAAAATGGGGGTGGAGATGCTCCTTCAGGTATACTGGGCTGAGACAGTTTAGGGCTTTAAAGGTCAGCACCAACCCTTTGAATTGTGCTCAGAAACATACTGGGAGCCAATGTAGGTCTTTCAGGACTGGTGTTATGTGGTCTTGGTGGCTACTCCCAGTCACCAGTCTAGCTGCCTCATTCTGGATTAATTGTTGTTTCCTGGTTCACCTTCAAAATCTTCACGTATGGAGTCACTTGCATTTAGAGTGGTCATATATCCTACTGTCTGGCCCAGGTCCTGGTGTAAAGATAAAGAACCATCAGAAGGAAGAGGGAGGGAGGGCTTGAAAATACCTTCCAGCGATTAGCTCATGAACAGCACAGGTTTCTCCTTCATCAGCCTTCTTCACTGTGGTGAGATGCATTTCTATTTTGTTACTATGACGTCTATATCTGCATATATACATATGAATTAGCATGTGCAAATTTATTAGAAACCTGTGTCCCCTTTCATCTTCTTTTTTGGTGATGCATTTCCCCCCCTATAATGCATAATTGGCCACCCTGCTTCCAGCGGTGGCTGGTGCCGAATGGGATAAAGTAGGGAGATTAACAGTAGCTGCAGCCAGAGCTAGTAAGAGTCGGAGGCAACTGATTCTATTTTTGCTCCATCCTCCTCCCTGCCAAGTTCTACAAGGGCATCACTGAGGCTAAGGAGGAGGAAGCTGACTGCCAATACCACCCCTTGGACTGGATGTTAAGTAAGGACAGCAGATGAGGGTTGATTGAAGTTGCTGGGGCACAGACCCATTGGCCTCCACTGTTGTTAGTGTAACAATACCATCGCCAATATCATTAACTGAAGCAAGGATGGGGGGGGATATGGGGGGGAACCCTGGGTGTACATTTCTAGACCGTCAACAATTTATTGTAGCTTGTTTTTCTAAAAGCCTGGTTAGAAATATTTAAATATTTTCTGAACACAAGCAAAAGATACAGGGTTTAGTATACTACTTATGTCCCACCCCTGCCTCCCCAACCAAATGTCCTGTTTTGGGACCTAATGCTTGTTTTTGCTGGCAAAAGAACCACCAGCACTAAAAGCTTAAAGGTAAAGGACCCCTGGACGGTTAAGTCCAGTCAAAGGCGACTATGGGGTTGCAGTGCTCATCACTCTTTCAGGCCGAGGGGGCCAGCATTTGTCCACAGACAGCTTTCTGGGTCATGTGGCCAGCAGGACTAGACCGCTTTTGGCGCAGCGGAACACCGTGACGTAAGCCAGAGCACACAGAAATGCT